CACGTTATCGCTGGAGCCCGAGAACTGAGCTCCTCTTTTTAATGTTTAATGAGATCCTCTAGAGATTGTCTGAACATTGACACTCACTAAATATAACTTGTTTCCTTTAACATAGCAGTTTTGGGGAACCATATATATCTTTACGTTTGAACAAGTTTCAACACAGAAACTCCCATATTTACCTAGGGTGTTAAATTTAAACATCACCCTCTTCTTTTTAGACAAAATAATTTGGTCTTACCAACAATGTAAGAAGTGACAGAGTATGTAGACTCTCCATCCAGTTGCCCTACTAGGAGGGGAGTGAGATGGGGGTTGAATAAGGAGGCGAGGTATGAGGTGTCAGTCAACTGTGCGACTCTAGACAGGCAACTGAGACCCTGAGTCTATGTTATTATCCGTCGTGGAGAGGTTGATACAGGCTAGGTTCTTCCCCAGTCATTCTTAGCTCTACCATCCCACAGTGTCACAGGCCAGCAGCTAAGTCTTAACACAGCTCTGTGACTGCCCTCTCCCACCTGGATCTAGGAAAGAGGTCAGGGGTCCTCCCAGGAATCGCAGAATGAATAGATTTACAAATTAATCAAAGTCAAGGGTCGTTATCCAACCCCTCAACACGCTCACAGCGTGCATTACAGAAAATCATCACACCGTCACTCAGGGCCTCTGCAAACCATTCAGGTCAACGCCCGCACCAGACGCGGATCTCAGGTGCTGTTGCTGTTAGACAGCGTCCTCCCTAATCACCCTGCCCCATCTCCTCGGCCCGTCCGAACTTTGCCTCACTGGTTTCAGAGTCAGGAGAGAAATCCGTGATGGAAAGTGAAACGCAGAAGGAGTCTTTACTTCCAAAGTGAGGTTTAGATTAGACTCACATTTTGCTGGTAGAAACTTCTCTCAGAAATCTGTGTGGCTGAACCACAGCCCCTCTCCACAGGCCAATCCTCTCAGAGGAAAGAGTCTGAATAGAAGTGAGCACTTCTTTAGTTTCTCCTCCCTTTTTCTGACCCTGCTACCTAATGGGCATCTTTTCTCCTGCGGATAATGAGGGAAGACTAGAGAGACACAGCCCCCAGTGCCTCCTTTGTAGCAGCCTGGTCCACACCGGACCAGCCTGGTCACTGGTGTGACTGCCGGCAGTGAGGGTTGGAATCCCACTATCGGGGTCACAATGTCACCAATTATCAGGAGCCATGCATATTTTATTTTCTCCTCTTACTTTTGAGAGAAGTGTTTCACTCAGGCAGGGATAATAGTGTTTAATGCAGGAGATTAAACACAAAGATGACCATGATCCTTATCACACTCTATGTTAAGAGATGCAGTCATTTAAAAATGTCTCCTCGAAAACAAGCCAATTAAAAAATGGGCAAAGGACTTGAATAGACATTTCTCTGAAGAAGACATACTGGGCCAGCCCCATGGCCAAGTGGTTAGGTTCGGTGTGCTCTGCTTCAGTGGCCCAGCTTTGGTTCCCAGGCGCAGACCTACACCACTCATCAGTGGCCATGTGGTGGCAACCCTCATGCAAAATAGAGGAAGACAGATGTTAACTCAGGGCAAATCTTCATCAGGGAAAAAAAGAAGACATACAATTGGCCAATAGGCTCATGAAGAGAGGCTCCACGTCACCGTCACCAATCTTTAGGGAAATGCAAATTGAAAGTACAAAGAGATAGCAATTCACACCCACTAGGATGGCTACCGTCACAAACAAACAAAAAACCCCAGGGAATAACAAGCGTTGGTGAGGATGAGGAGAAATTGGAACACTCGTGCACTGCTGTGGGGATGTGAAATGTTGCAGTTGCTGTGGAAAAGTTCCTCAAAAAATTAAACATAGAATCACCATATGATCCAGCAATTCCACTTTTGGGTACCCAAAAAGGAGTGAAAGCAGGACTCACACAGATATTTGCACACCCATGTGCATAGCAGCATTATTCACTATAGTCAAGAGGTGGAAGCAGCCCAAGTGCCCATCAATAGAGGAATGGATAAACAAAATGTGGTCCATACGTGCCATGGAATGTTATCCAGCCTAAAAAAGGAAGGACATTCTGACACATGCTACAACATGGATGAACCTTGAAGTCACTGTGCTAAATGAATTAAGTCAGTCACAAAAAGACAACACTGTGTGATTCCACTCACACGAGGTCCTGAGAGGCGTGAACATCACAGGGGCAGAAGGTAGGAGGCTGGGTGCCAGGGGCTGGGGATTAGTGTTTAATGGGAACTGAGTTTCACTTCAAGAAGATAAAAAAGATCTAGAGATGGATGGTGGTGATGGTTGCACGACAACGTGAATGTACTTAATGTCACAGAATGGTATGCTTAAAAATGGTTAAAATGGGAAATTTTATCTTATATGTATTTTACTACAATAAAAAAACCCATCCGCTGGGACCTTTGAGGAAGTGGCAGAGGTCAAGAATGTGCTAGCTTTTCCTTGTCACCCAGGAAGAAAAGAAGACCTGAGACCCTGCCGTCCAGCAGGCGCTCGCTTACCCGCACGCAGCAGCAAAGCAAACACAACAGAACCGAACCCACAGACCTCGACCGTGAGCTATTCACCCCTCTGCCCAGTGAGGAAACTGAGGCTCCAGGTTAATGTACGGGGTCAAGCGGTCGGAACCAGAGGCCGGGTGGAGAAGCTCTGCCTGACTCTCCACGCCTGTTTTCTCCTCACCCCACAACGTTGTTTTCCTCCATGCATGGCTGTCGTTTTGAACAGGCTTTCTGCTCTGTAAGCTTTTCTACTTCAAAGTCGGGCCCGCCTTCTGAAGTAGGCTAAAAAAGTCGGTCCACCAAACACACTCACTGTGTGCCGCCCGCCTGAGGCCAGGGCTGGCTATGAATAATGGAGTCATGTTTCCGCCCAGCCACTGGCCATGTGGCTGAAACACACCACAATCAAAATTTCCGTGTCAGTCGACTCCCTCAAAAGCCGCTGAAGACCCTGGGCAAAAGCATAGTGTCTGTCAATGCTCCATACGGCCTGAATGAGGGAAATGGTCTCATTTCACAGTATAGGAGTGTGTTCGTTTTTTTCCCAAACCTGCCACCATCATAGCGACTGATCTGCTCTTACCCACTAACCTGCTGCAAGCTGGAATTAACAATTAAGGAAAGGTTTGGGCTGCGCAGAACATAGGCCCCTCCCAGGTGATTTCTGAAAGAGGGCAGGGGCCTCCCGACTCTCCTGTGCTGATGGACCAGGCTTCCTCTTCTTGCTCTCATGTGAAATGCTCAGTGGAACACAGGTTGCCTACACAGCCCCAGACAAAGCAGGGTGTTGGCCTTATCTCGTGAGCACAGCCTTGGACGAGCGGCTCAGAGGGCGAGCCTGTCCTCATTCCCACAGTCCGTATTCCCAGCTTTCCTGCTCATTCAGTGACAGGCAGCTCCCTCGCAGGACTCCAGTTAGGGGACTTCTGGATCCGAGATGCACCCTGGACCACCTGTCCGGGAGGGTCATCTTTCATATTTTACTTAGGAGGCAAAGGGAAAGTGGAACTGTGCCATACGTGGCAGGGCGTGCGCTGCCCACAGCTTTGACGAAATCCAGTGAATCTGTCAGGGGAGTTCCATGGTTTCAACACCAGCAATATTTTGCCTCCTAGACACAGTACAGGTTTAACTTAAGTAATCTCTCAAAAGCAGACTTTTTTTCCTTTAGTACCTAAAGATTCTCACCTCTGAGAATGTGCCGCTACACCTCAGATTTTGAGAAGCCAAATCAGTTTGGTATGGACGGCACTAAAACCCCCTGTAGCTCTCACCATTGAGAACGGTGATCGATGAGGGGCACAGACACTCAAGGGCGTATTCAGGTCTAAAAACCTGTGTTTTAAGAATTTATGAATGTCTAAGCAAGACCTTTTTATTCTTTTTACTCCACTATGAGCAGTTTTCTTTCTTTCCTTTGAAAATTTGTCTCCTTTCTCTCTAAAGACTCAAGAAAAAAACCTTTTGTCAATGACCACTATGGCTCAGCCACATTTTCTGTCGGAGACAAAGCTTCATTTTCTAAATCACACTACGCTACGGGATTAAACTCCTTCTCCCACACATCCTGCCAGAGGAAACTCACAGCTTCGCCTCTAATCCGGCAGACCTGCGTATCGCACTTGTACGTGCCATTCGTAAATACGAGCAAGCCTTGCTCACAGACCCTCAGGGAGACGATCCGTCACTCAAGAAAATGAAAGAGCACAAATCACTTTCTGATTTTACATTCCGGTCTGTCCACGGGGTGTCCGGCCCCTCCTGCCTTCCATCCCTCAATGAGGTTAACATGCATCGCGACCCAAAGATGAGCAAAATCCACAGAAACGTAAAATCCACACATACACCGGCGTCTCATGCTGGACAAGTTAAACCCGCCACACTCCTCGAGAAAGGACGCAACTCGAGCAGAAGACTTGCTGGTAAACGCTGGCTGTTCCTGAGGTTATCGGAAAGCAGCTGCACAGAGCTGGGGAGGAAAACACCGTTTCTCAACGGTAAATGCTGCCCCTCACATACGCAGTTCCAGCCTTTGTTGGCAAGTTCTGAGTACAAAAGCATTTAACAACAACAAAAAAGCCAAATCACAGTCATTTCGCTTCAAAACAGAAGCCGCCCCAGCGCACTAGTAAGAAAGATAATGCAATTAACATTTTACACCCCTACACCCGTAAAAACGCCCAGATGATCCTCCCACAGCTCCACAGACCGATTTCAGCCCAGCCGCCTTCCCTTCCCGGGGAATGGTGCAAACAGCTGCTTACATTTAGCGTGTTTTCCTGACGAGTCACCAAAGCTCGGCGCTAAGGATGATTTTTAAAAAGCAAACGTGTCACAAATTTGGCCATCCTCACAACCCTGCTGAGAGAAGCCGTCGGCATCATTCCCCCCGGCCCTGAAGCATCTCCCCTCTGAAACCTGCCTGTAAAACCACAGCTGGTGGTCCATTTCTCGCTTAAAAAGGAGCAGCAAGAGAGTGTTAGCATTACCTTAGCCGCAGGCCGGTCGGAGGAGAGTGGCTCCTGTGAGCTGGTCCGTGCAGGCAGCTGCGCCCCGCCGCCCCGCCCGCCCGCCCGGCCGCGTAGTAGGAGCTGCCCACGGCGTGCAGCAGCGGCGCCCGCAGCCCAGGGACTAGTCCCCACCCAGCTTTGTCTTCAGTCATCTTCTCTCCACAGGAAGCTGCGCATCCCCCACTTCCTCCTCCTCTTGGCGGCTCTGAGCCGCCCTCTCTTCTCCCTTCCACGCCCTTCCAGGGCTCACTGGGGGCTGTGCCTCTCCGGGCGTCTGACACATGTGCCCGCAGACCCCCATCGCTTTGTTCCCTCTGGGTTGCCTGCTCCTTCATTCCGCGTCCCTCCCTCTCTCTCCCTCTCCCCCACGGCAGCTTCCAGCGGCTGCCCCCTCGCCCCTTCCCCACATGCAGTCGGCTTCCTCAGCCTCAACTTGGCTTCTTGCTGTTGCTGCTGCTGCTGCTGTTTTTGGGGGGTCAACAGCCCCTGGCAGTGGTGGCCCTGAAAGCCGGCACCGGCCTCGATGGCTGCTCCTGATTTCAGAGGGTCCCTGTCAGGACAGCTGGCTGGGAGCTTCTGGCTGCAGCATTTTTCTGTGGCCAACATTCCAGACGCTTAATTTCTCCAAGGTCCCACTGCCACTGAGGTCTCCCTTAACCCACATGCTCAGAAAAGAATGGCCCCGATAAGAATTCTTGTGGGGACAGGAGCTACACAGCGTCCTGCGCGGCCACCTGGGGCCTCGCAGTGAAGTCATATTCCCTAAAGATTCTCCGTGGTGGGAAGGAACGAGGTGGCACCGGACGCCAACAGTCCCAGCCCAGAACAGAGCCCTCCCCACACCGTAGGGCTGAAAGGGCCTCTCGCCCCCTGCTTGAGGAGATGGTGCCCCTGCTTGAGGAGGTGGTGCCGTGTAATGGGTGAGCACAGAGCCTGCAGGCGGTGTGTTCTCCAGAGCTGGAATCTAAGCTGTTGTTACCCACTGTATGAACTCGGGCAAATTATTTAACTTCATGCCTCGATTTCCTCGTCTTTGGAATGGAGATCATTACAGTCGGAGCCCACAGCAGAAATCCAAAGATTAAATGAGATGGTACACAAATGACAATGGTCGTTCGTGGAACGCAGCAAGTGCTCAATACGTGTTAGCTCTTGTTATTTTTAGAGGGTGTTGATGCTCAGAGATGGCAAGTGACTTGGGCATCCGCAGCCAAAGCAGGTCCAGTATCTGGGTCCCAACTCTCCTCAGTTAGCACATCCACAACTAAACCCAGCTGCTCCCGGTGACGATTTATTCAGCCGGTGAGTCATGCTCCCCCGGCCAGCACAAGCTGCTTTGGGGCAGCTGCAGGCTGAACCGGGGCTGGGGGTGGGAGTCCTTCTTCCGGTGTCCAGGCAACGCTGCTAGGAAACCTTCCCTCAGGACTCCGTGCCTGGAAAGCTAATCTTCCCCCGTTGACTCGCCAACTCCACCTCTAACTCCCCCAGCAAGTGAGCTATAGCAGGAAACTGGGCATGTAGGGCTGGCGCAGGCTAACTGGATGGTCCCGGAAGGGAGCAGGTGCCTTCCCGACCCTGCTTGGGGACCACAGCACATCAGCCTGGAACAGACAGAATTTAGTTTCCATGAAATGCTCTGAGATGGCACCAGGATACCCTCTGTTCTGATTTGATGTTCCATGAACAGAGTTTGCTTATTTCTTCCTGGAAATCTTTTATCAAAAAGGAACATCGGAAAATTACAGAATGGATTGTTTTAAGATGAAAAGTGAGGAACTACTTTTGAGCTCCCAGTTAACAGAATTGTAGTAGTGGCAGAGGATTGGACGTGGCTTCCCACAGCCTCCTACCACCCAGGGAAAATCAGACATGAGTTATCTGCAAATCAGCAATCTGGGTGCCAAAGGTTACCAGAAGCTTTTAAATAAAAACTTAAACATATATGACACCAAGTCTAACAAAAATGAGAAGCACCATTGTTAGTGGTTGGAAAGATTATGGAAACAAACCTGTGGTTAATTTTAGACTAGTGGATTCTGGCGTTAACTCTGGAATCGAATAATTTCTTTTTAAATCCCTTCTCGTTCCCGCTCCTCACACTCTCTCTAAACCGTCAGAGAGCAGTTGGTATTATCTTTACGTCTATATGGGAAAATCTCTTTCAGAGAACAAAATCTCTAGGAATTTGTCCTGCTGCCTTCTGATGGGTTCTTCCATCTCTGGCCTTGACAAAGCTCTCGGTAGGTTCACCTGGCCATTGCTGGGAGGTGCTGACAACCTCTCCTCAAAGCTGAAAACTGGATTTTAAGATCTTTCTCTTCTGTCATTAACCTCATTGCTTTCTGGTCCTAATAGCTTCTTTTCATAGAGAGAAAAGAAAAATCTAGGGTGTAGATTCTCTGAGAGAGAGGATTAATCCAGTTCAGAGCTCTTAACACAAGTGTGGTGAGTATGCACACCCAGTGTGCAAAGTATTCATGTCTTAGGAGATGTGGTTACATCTCACCATGAACAGTTCGTGCCGTCAGTAACTAAACACGAGCCCAGGCTACACACGTCCATCAGTGCATGAAACAAAAGCCTGTTCGTCAGGAGTCTGTTTGTGGGTGTCGACACCTTGTGGCTCTTGCGTCTACCTGGTGAGGAGGTTGATGGCAACGAGGAGGCCCTCGTCTTGGCCCGACAGCTCTCCTGCATTATTGAGCATGCTAGTCCATGTTCCTTGGAGTCTTTAACACTAACATTCCCCAGATTATATACGTTACCTCGTCCAAAGCTTCTGCTCCTTTCTCTAGTCTGCACTCCACTTAATGACGAGTACAAACCATTGCCCACAGAGGAATACAAGAGTCACACAGAGCCGTTTGTCCTTGTTACCCCGTGTCTGTGTAAGTATCCTTATCCCTCCTTTCTCACCACCAGACTCTCTTTGTCCGAACCCCTCCTCCCTCTGGCCCTGACCACTGTCCGATTAATAAATTCTTGGGTTTTCCCTGTATGACCACAATGCTCCCTACTTGGTCCTCCTGCCTCCCGGCTCTCTTCTAAGCCACGCCCAACAGAAGTGCATTTCTAAGATGAAGAGTTGAGCACGTCACTGCCCTGTGTAGTTTTTCAGTGTCTCCCCCCCCCCCGCCATTGTTTACAGGATACCAGGCCTTCCGCAATGTCGCCCAACTACGATCTAACTTTATTACCTAACCTATTGCAACCCCACGTCTACCCACTCCACACCCATCTTTGTGGCAGGTTCTCTGGGGCTGTGCTCTTGTCTCCTCTGCGTCTTAGCGCATGCTCTTCCTTTCGCCGGAAATGTCCTTATTCCCTTCTCCATTTTGTCCACTGGTGACCTCTACTTGTCCTTCCAGACTCTGCTTCTCTCAGAAGCCTTCCCCGACCTTGCCTGAGCCGCTGCCTCCTGCTCTGTGAGCGCATGGGGCCCTCTCGTCTCCCCTTGAGCACTAACTGCATTGTTTTGATGAGTTGTTATATGCCTGCCTCGCTCGTCACTATTTGAGCCCCTTAACAAGATTAGCACCTTGTTCTGTCCATCTCCGCTGGTCACATAGCAGGTCGCTAACAGACGTTTGTATAATGAAGAGGCTATATTGGCAGAAATTCCAAAACCGCTTTTGTATTCCTCTGGGTGCCTGTGGAGGAGGAAAAAAGGAAGTTTTTGATATGAGAAGTCAGTCATGGGATAAGAAACAATAATTCCTCTATTTTTTTGCAAAGTGTCTGCAGAAAACCATGGTGAACTCATACCAAATCTCGAGTATTTGTTCTATGGGTGACCCCAAAGAATCCTGGTTCCGCATCCGCACTGAACTGATTACAAAGAGGCACAGCTGGGCAACGAGGTAATTTAATAGATAAAAAGAAATAGAAAAAAGGAAAGAAAGCTGTTCTGTGCTTGCATTTCTGGATGAACTTTAAAGAGACTAATTTATGAGCCAGTAACACTTTTCACATTCCCTCCCACCGTCTCCAGTTTTTGCCTCTTCACAGCGGCCCCCGAGCCTCCCACAGGCCAGATCCCAACCCTTCCTCTGCTCTCTTTATAGGACAGCCGTGTGCGTGTGTGTGTGTCGCGCTCAGGCCCAGCTGGTTCTTTCCCACTCGGATCGATTTCCCTTCTCTGGCTACGTCCCCCTGCTTCCCATCCACGTCTCGGCTTTGGTTTTGCTCCATCCTTTCTTACTCTGTGGTGTCAGTGGGGAGCCATACACTGCACCAGCAGTGCCCTCCTTGAGTGCAGGCGTGGGCCAGGATGAAGAGAAGAGCAAGGTGGGGATAAAAAGGTGAATTTGTGGATTAGTAAATAGCGTCCACTCATAGAAATTCACGATACGTTTACTGGTTTGCTTAATTGTTGTGCCAAATAGTAATCAAGGAACAGTAAATGAATCATTGAGCTATTATTTTACCACAGAAAAGCCAGAATTCCAGGCATTTCTTGGATTGACCAAAGAGAACAGAAGTTTCTCTAAAGACTTTGTCAAAAAAGGGCATAATCTCGATCTGATCTGTGTGTCACAGGACCCTTCCCTCCCCAGACACCTGAGCCCACCCCCAGCTGTCAGGAGCCACAAAGTCTGAATCACGTGGGCGCAGAGAGTCAGGGGTGGGGGCAGAACTAACCTTTCTCAAAAGAGGGTGGCCGACCCTCACAAAGGAAAAACGCCTGTGGCTGTCCCATAGCCCAGTGCAAATGCTAGAAGGGCGAGGGGTTTGCAGAGTGATGGCCAACTCTTCGTCCGTCCGGAGGGCAAAGTGTGAGGGCCTTGATCTCTTTTCCCTTTGCCCTGGGCAAGGCCAACTAGGGGGTTCGCAGACTAGCGTGCAGCCCCCAGGTTCTTCTCTGATATTGCCTGAAATGTCACCAGTAGTGAACTCATTTGGGCTGTTAACTGGAATGTGTGCATGTATGTGTCATGTGCATAAAGTCCCAGGGAACTTCAGTGACGAAGGACTTCAAGAACCTTGCTTTCCTAAACCTCACGAGAAAACAAACGCCGTGTTGATGGGGAGAAAGGGGGAGGCTGAAGGTAGAGAGAGGCTGGGAGGCTGGAGGAGAGCTCGCTGGGAGCACCAGGTCCCGTGAAGACGACACTGGGCGTGGAGACGGGGAGGGAGGCGGAGCCAGAGCTGGCAGTAGGTGAGAAGAGGCCCGCACGTGGAGGCAAACAGCTGTGCCCGGGGGTGGCTGGGCCAGTAAAGTAAGAACAAGCCCAGACACTCCTGAGCAGACGCTGCCCGCCCTGAGTCTGAAGTTCTGGTCTTCCCATGAGCAGAAAATGTTCCACACCTTCCTCCAGTGGAATTCGGAGCCGGACTGTCGACTAGTGTGATGAAAGAGCTTAAACCAAATGCATTATTACCATTAAGATCAGAAACGGCAATTCTGCAGAACACAACTCAACCCCTCCAAAAAGTCTCTGAGGAACCATACAGAAGATCAGGACGACAGAAAATGGGCAGCAAGATGAAGCGGGAGTGAGCCAGAGCCCGACGGGGCGAGAACTCGGGCAGAGTGAAGCCTGGGAAAGCCGTCCCCAACAGGAACATCAGGACGGACGGACTGGAGCCTGCGAGATGCGGATCACGCGAGCAGAGCATGTTGAAGCGTCTGAAAGGAAAGCTACACAGTAGCAACTGCAGCAATTCGCAGGCAGGACTAGATTTTTCTGTGCCAACACGAAGACCGACAGGGCGATCTGTTTTGAAAGTAGACAGGCGGCAAAGGACTGGAGGAGGAAGGCAGATGTCTGCAGGCGTCTGTCCTTGTGTCTGGTGAAGAGCATTCACAGGCGCTTCTGACCTGGTCTCCCAGCTCCACTTTCCTCCTACGTTTTAAGGTTCTCACTGTGAATTTTTCTAGGTTGGAATTTCGGAAACAGAACCATGGGCATCAAGGCAGGAACGGCGCCGTTGCGCGCCAGGAGGCGAGTCCGTCCCTCAGTCTGTCACAGCCCCGAGGCCCACGGCGAGCCGGTCCCCGCTCTGGATGCTCTGCGCCCTGAGCAGGTTGTGTGCTCTCAGAACACACTCGTTAGCTTTACGTGAACCCAGACAATTAGGCCCCCGCGGAGGAAAGTTGTGAATCCTACCGCCCGCTTTGAAAATACGAGAACATACATTTTACAGAGTTCTAGGAGAATGAGCAAATAAACCGCCGACGCTGCTTAAAACATTCCCCGAAACGTCTTCGGAAATCAGAAAGTGAGAAGAGGGTATGGCAAGGAAAGAACGTGATACTGACGTTGGAAAGGAAAGACCCTGGAGTCACCAGCCAAGTGAAAAGACCAAAGCAGGAGGAAAAACCTGCTCTTGACTTCTGCGGTAATGAAGTCTCATATGCAGAAAGTTCTTACAAAGTTTTGTGAATCGATTGCTCTTCCTACAAATCTGTGAGCTTGGAAGGTGCGTTTTTAGTAATGCAAAACATTTGATATAACTTCCCATGAAATCTTACTTTCAGTTACTTTAGTAAGAAGTTATTCAACATTCTTTAAGTATTGCTTGTATGGTTATGCAGGGAAATTTCATCAGAGAAGAATTTGTGGTATAAATTTGGAAATCTCGAATCATTGACTTGGCAAACACAATCAACAAATAAGATTCCTTCGCAAATTACTATTCTTGGTAGTATGGTTTTCTAACAGAAAATGGCCGGGTTGGGTGCAGCCGTCTCCTCCGCCATCACCTCGCTTGCATGGTTAGAGCTCTAACCGTCCCGTCACCGCGTTCGTCCCTGTCCACCCTCCCCCACAGCTGGAACTCTCCAGGACGCAGGGCTGTACCTCTCGTCCTTCCCACAGTGCTCAGTGCCCAGCACACAGGAGGTGTGCAATCAGTATCTGTTGCCTACAGAGCAAAGGCAGAGGCACACCAAGTGAGGTGCAGAGGTTAATTTCAGCAGGAAGATTATAAGCCAAACATCTATAGGTTTATTCACCATTAAAAACAATTGAGTCCTATATTATCTCCTTAACAAGCAAGTTTGTCATCATTTATACATTGTCATTATGTCATTATTTATACATTGTCAGATGAAAAGAGTGGGTTACTTGCTCAAGATTGGTTACTGTCATTGATGCCTTCTCAGCTCAATTTACCTAGACCACAGACAAGCCATTTGTTTGCTATTAAAATATTTATGTATATTTCATCCAAACTCCAAATTTTTGCATCTAGAAAGTAGAGTTATACTAACTGAAAATTGACAGCATAAATATGACTAAAAACCCCGCCAATATCCTATAAACACATCTGGCACTCTGATATGAGTGGAAAACGATATTATCTGCACCCTTACTTAAAGATTACATAAATCCATGGTTTTATATCTGAAGAAGGTGGCAGCAATAACCTCAAATAATAGAGTCAAGAGGGAAAAAAGTTGGACATGCCCACAGCTGAGGGGACACCACCAGCGAAAAATAAGATTTCAAGGAAGAAATTAAAATGCTCAGAATGAATGGATTAACTTAACTGTTATCAGGACAAACTCGCATTTTATTCTGGAATAATAGTTTAAGGAAATTCTTTAAAGACTCACCATTTATGACAACCATCCAAAGGGGGAAAAAACCCCCCTTTCTACTCCTCAACTTCCAGAAGACAAGAGAGTGCTTGTCTCGGCCTGCCAGGGTCTTGATGGCGCCTGGTGCACAGTGAACTCTCACTAAATCTTCGTTAAATGAATGAATGAACTTTACAAGAATAACAGAAACTCACATTCATACTTATAACATCTGTAAATGGTGAGGTTTAGGACTAGTGAGGGAGAGAGGCTGTGAGCTCTGGCAGTGATGGTGGGACCCAGGGCACCTCAGAGCCACGAAGACATCCATGCAGACTCCCGGGGGAAGGGAAGTGAGCACAGGGCATCGGCTTCATCTGTCCACTCACTCTGACTGTCAGCTTAGCTCCCCACTCCAGGGAGCCCACTTCCCAACACGAGGGACTAATTTCTCCTGCCGGGATGGGGAACGGCGTTACTTTATAACACACCCCAGGGCTGAGGGAGGAGAGACCCATCCTTCCTCCTGCTCCGGACTCAGGTGCCAACGTCCCCAGGCTGCCTCTTCTTCTCATGATCGATTGGGATGAGACACAGTGACCGTGGGCGCAGGGGCCCAGGAGAAGCACTTCTGCTTGCAGTCCGTTCCCTTCTGACCGTCCGAAGCCAGAGGCCAGCGAGCTCCTCAGCCTCGTGGCTGCCGCGGGGACAAGAAGTGTCCACAGGAGGCAGTTTTCAGGGACAAACAGAAGAGGAAAGGAGGGGGGGATGGGAGGTTGTTTTTCTCAGGGGAACCATTTTCAAATGAGACCTCTGAGAGGAGAACCGAGAGCCAAATGAACAAGAGACAACTTAATTTACTTTTAAGAGGGAGAAACATGAAAACCTGGTTTTAAAATTAAGGGGAAACAACAACATCTGAAAGGAGGACTCAGAGGAGGGCCAAGAGGGACGATGTCGTCTGCAAAGCTCAGGGGGAGAATTCTGACCTTGAGCCGTATTACTGTCTCCTGGAGAAATAACCTTGTAGTTTAAAAATGGTGGGAATATTACTGGAATTGGTCACTTAAAGGCATTTACTTTCACTTAAAATTGGGTGTAATTTATACATTCAAACACACGAGTATTTATTGGAAACTTATTAGGGGAAACGAAATACTCAGTCTTCCATCTCTTGGAGCTCGTGAGAGCCGACGATCGGAACTGAAATAGTCAACAAATAGACGCAGGGTGCGTCTGGCAGCATTAGGTCCTGAGAAGGAACAGCAGCGTAAGGGGAGCAGAGAGCACTGGGTACTGAGTGGGACGGTCCAGGAAGGCGCCGGGCGTCCCCTGGTGCCCACCTCTCCCCACCCTTCCCAGGTCACTCCCTCTTCTTTGCTCCGCTCTGTGCTCCTGGTTTCTCCGGGATGTCCCCAGTCATTCTTGGCTCCTGCCACTCACGCCCTCGTGTGTCTCCCCTCACGCTGACTCCACTGACCATACGACTGACAGAGTGCGCCGAGGCGACAGTGGTGATTTTTGAGGCCAGGTCGTGAGAGGCACAGTGACTTCTACCGTGGCCTCGTGGGGCACTCGCTCTGGGGAAGCCGGGTGCCGTGCTGTGAGGACTCAAGCAGCCCTGTGGAGATGCCCACGGGGGCAGGGCCTCAGATTTCCTGCCCACGACCAGCCACTTGAGTGAGCCCCATGGAAATGACCCTCCACCCACATGAGCCTGCGAATGACTGAGGTCTTGACAGTAATCCCACGTGAAACTTGGGGCCAGAGACATCAAGACCGACTGCCCCCAAATTCCTGACCCACAGAGACTGTGAGAGGCGACAGCTGTGTACTGTTCAAGCCGCAGCGTCGGCGGCACTGGGTTATGGAACAATAGGGAGCGTGACTAATACCCGTGCCCCTTACCTGGCACCCTGGACTCCTGTTCCAGCCGCGTCTGGCCCACGCTGGGGAAGCGAGGTCATCGTGTTTATTCCTCGGCCTTCAGCTCTGGTCCTGCTCCTCCCGCGTTGCCACAGCCCCCTCTGGGCTGCCCGCGGCCTCCAGGGCTGCAGCTCTGTGTGCCCCCCCCCCCCCCCCCGGTATTGTTTCTTCCCTTTGCCCTTCAAGCCCAGGCTCCGCACCAGATCCTGCTGTTGGTTTCCTTAACCCTGACTCATCTCTGGAACTAGTCCCTTCATTCTCCTAAAAATCGTGTGTCTTCTCTTTCCTACCAAGACCCAGGCTGGCACAAAGTTGTCCTGTGGAGAGGACACTTGGAGACGTGAAGGAAGTGAGGGCAGGGGGCTCCCATGTGTGGGAAGAGTCCTCCAGCAAGTGCAAGACCCCGGGGAGGGAGTGCTTGGCGAGTTGAAAGAGCAGGAGGGGGCCAGCGCCACGGAGCGAAGGCACAGACAGAGTGTCAGGGTGTCAGAGGGAGGCAGGCAGCGCCACACCAGGTGGAGCCCGTGGGTCACACTGTACCTGAGAGCTGTGCATGCCACGGCGGGCGGGGTGGTCTGAGCCACGCACGGCATGCTCTCCCGCATCCTGGGACGGGATGGAGGGGGTAAGAACGGACTGGGGGACCAGTCAGGAGGCTCCTTGAGAATCTGGAGATCAGCGATGGCTTGGGTATGGTGGGCGACAAAGGTGGAGGGAGAGATTGAATTCAGGATGCATTTTGAAACCAGACCTGTAAGGATTTGCTGCTAAACTGAATGAGAGAGAAGTAAGAGTGAGGAGGCCTCTAAAGTGAATGATGGATGCTGGAGCCGGCGCCTGAGCCCAGCACAGTGTGTGTGGGGGGGGGGGGCAGTCTGGAGGGAAGGAGGGCGGAAATCGAGACTTTGCTCATTTCATCTTCAAAAGAGGAAAAGAGTAACGTTCTGCTGTTTCAAAAAGAGGAAAACGAGAGGTTTTTTTCTCACTTTACAAAGGATGCACATTCACGGAGTGGCGTTCCTATCTCCTGGCTGTTGGGCTTTGCCGTTGGAAGACTTGAAATCAGGTAGGTTCTCCAGTCCAGTCATAAGTGTGATCAGTGATGGGTCATTTCTGGCTCCCCAGAGGTCAGACTGAAGAAATCCAGGAGCCGGGCTGACCCGGGGTCTGGGGCCCCTCTTGTCTATTCTAGGACATGGTCTGCCTAGAGTTGAGGATTGTAAGTGTCACGCTTGTAAAAGATAATCTCACTGGTTAACCTCACATGATTTTCTTTTTTAAGTTGAAATATGACTCCCCTCAGCCCAGAAGCAGATGTGGCCGGAAACAAGACTCAACAGACGCTTCCGTTCCTCTGGGCAGCCCCCCTGCCCCACTTCTTACCATAGAAGCAGAGCTGTGCGCCCCGCCCCCCGACACCCACTCTCCTTGCACAACGTGGGCACCTGCTTCCCTTTGCAGACCTGCAGCTCCAGAGGCAGCTGAGCAACGTGGCGGAACTTGAGCTCACAGACCTGGGGGAGACCAGGGGCCCTGTGCTGGGGAGGGGCTGCGCCCGGCTGTGGTGTCAGCCAGGTTGTGCATACCTCGTCCTGCAGCCCGCTTCGGGGGCCAGGACACGGTGTCTTGATGCCAACAGGCATTCGTTGTCGCTGTTGTTGTTCTGTTCAGAAGGACCTCTGTCTGCAGCTTCTGTCGGCCTCCGGGAAGGGACACGGCTGCTGCGGGAGGAGGATGCTCCCTCCCCCTCAGTTGCCATGGCGACTCTGAGGCCTGATTTCCTGGTTGCCATGTAAATGCAGTGGGATCCCAGCCACTCGCCACACAAAGACCTCGGAGAGAGCAGCGAGGAATCAAAAGTCCTGTTTACAAAGACGGAATTTCATCTCAAGCCTTTTACTCACATAAAAGAGAGGAAAGGAGCCACTGTCGTCAGACACGGTGCTCCTTCCGGGGGGCGGACGGAGTGCATCTCCCCCTCGCTGGAGGGAAGACTGGGAAGAAAAGGGGAAACCCCTCGTTTGTGGGCGAGGAGCTGGCCTGGGGACGGGAAGACAGAAGACTTCTCAGGAGGCCCACTGAGAAAAACTCTGAAATATTTAACTGGGGCGGAACAATTGAGTTGGATTGAAAACCAAACCAAAAACATGGATCTCGTGGACAATTTTTAGAATTACTTTTATTTGTGTAGTTTTATAATTTTAGAATTGAGATTCCAAAGGCTCTAATATTTGCTTGATGATCAATTTTTATTTCTATCCAATAACTCTGAAGAAATGACAAAATGCAGTTATTTCTCTATTTTTTTATTGATTGGTAACACCCTGATAAAACCGCATGCCAAAAATTGACTAATCCAGATTTCTATGGTTTTCATAGCGTGGGTGTTTTCTGTGTTTAATAATATCTATAAAATCACTGGCATATAAAAAATGTAAAATCTGTATATTTTGCATTGCTGTCTACATATATGCAAACAAAACGTCGATAACTTATCTCCTTGACTTTTCATCATATCTTAAAATCAAATGTTTTAAAATTAATCTGTTGTTTCTTTTCCAAAAAACATCTCTCTGCCTTTTGACAAAAGCTTCATATAAAGGTTTGAAGAACGTAATCAGGCAGAATTTCCATAGGTTTACTGAAAATCCCACGCAGAGAGCTACTGGTGTTTGTTGTTCATTTTCGACAGCTGAATCAGAGGTCCCTCTGACGGCCTGTCTTGTGGAAGGTTGGGCCGTGATGAGGTAAAGTGTCCCACATCCTATAGACGCTGGAGAAGTGATGCCAGAGAGAACCCGCCAGGCCTGGGGTCCCCCAGGGCACAGAGCCCGCAGCCCCCGGCCCCAGAGCTGCCATTTCTTGTCTTCTCGCTGGTGTTCAACTGGTCTCGAAAGCCAGCATGTTCCAGCCCGGTCGGTAGACGTCACACAGGGTAGAAAGCCGAGGCGGGAAATTCAGAGCTCAAATAGTTTTGCAAAATGTGAGGCTCCAGAGCACTGAACAGGCTTATTTACTGCGGGACTTCTCAGAGCTTTGGATTCAATGGCAACTCTCATGAATCCGTGTCGCCCAGGTGGATCTGACTGCTGACCAGTGTCCTCACAGAGCGCCTCTGAGTTCTTCAGAGCACACTTTGAGGATACTGGGCCAGGTTTACCCAGGTCTAATTATAATTTAAAGACAAATGGATTTTTATTTGATTTAAAGCACAAAATTTTAAAAAGTGATGGGCTCTGTGTGATACTCTCCGTGAGCCCGTAGACAAGCAGATTCCTGAGATCCAGGAGAAAAAGGAAGAAAAACAGAGTCTACAATAAATCAGGCGTCTTTCAGGATATTTATTTTAGCCCTGAGCACATGAGCACATGTTGCCCTTTTCCAGAGTTGATTATAGCTCCTGTGTGTCTAACGGGTGAACTTCTCTAACAATAAACCACACAAGAGGCCCCAATTGTTTCAGCAAAAGTCGTGGCAAGGGGCCCAGAGGACGGACGTCGAGTGCTGGGAGTGATGTCTCGGGGGGTCGGGGGTCAGCTGGGAGTTGCTGTGGATTCTCGTGGGAAGAGGAAATCTCTCCAGCGGGGATTGGGGCTGTGACCACGCTGACTCGTTACACGATGGGCACCTCCAACCAGCTGTGAAAAACACGGCAGTGGCCAGCAACTCACCACCCCCGAAGCCGAGGAGGAAAGCGACGAAGGAAGGCTGCTCCCGCTCCACTCTCTGATCCTTCGAGAAGGAGGGAAATCCTGTCAGAGAGCAGACGCACCTCTGCCCAGCCTAGTCTCGCCTGCCCTGGGGAGCCGGACAGGGGTTTGAACCAAACAGGAGACGGTTAAGAGGGCCTGGCTGTTTTAGCAAACAGAGGGACTGAGGAGTTCCGGGTAGAACGAGATGTTAAGGGAGCTGGCCGCCCAGAGGGAAGGGAGAGCCACAGGAGCAGGTGGGAAGCAGCCGTTAGAAAGACCACGGGGCCATGTTTTCACCTCAGCAAGTTGAGTGTCTTCCATCCAGTGGGTTCAGTGGCTGGGACAGCTGTGTAAACAGCATGCGAGCACAGATGGGGGAAACGAGAGGAGGGGGCATAGGGACGAGAAGGATTTATTTTGCTGGGGTTTCCAGGAGCATCTTTAGAACAGAGGTGGCGGTTGAGATGGCGGCTGAGGGCTGAGTGGGAGCAAGGGGCTTTGCCGTGAGGCAGTGCCTGTGGGGCTTGAGCGCGGGACGGAGCAGCCGGTTCTGGGAGCCACGAACGCCTGGCAGAATGAGAGCTGGCGGCCGGGTGCAGGGGGGACACTGTGACGGGGGAGGTCGGGCCAGTTTGGGAAGTACCTTCCTCCACATTTCAATCAACATGGAAAAATGAGGAACCATCGAAGGTTTTAGCCAGAAGGTCACTGCATGACCGGGTTTGCATTTTGGAGAAACCCTCGCAGGACCTCGTGGGGAGGCTTTGAAAGGGCATCAGCGGAAGGGGAGAGCAGAGTCGATACACAAAATATTTGAGTGGTTTCCATAGAGCTAAACCGTCAAGTGTCTAGAAACGTCTGGGAGGAGGCACCAAGGGGAGAAGAACAAGAAAGAGGAATGAGAGCTACTCTCCAGAGGAAACAAGCAGAGCAATGGTTGTGCTTTTTCTGTCCACGCAACAGTTGTTTATTCGCATTAATATACAGGCGACATGTCTTCCTTCTCTGCCCTGAAGACTGCCCCTGCGAGCTACAGTAAGAACCTGAGAGAAGCACCTGAGACAGCTCAGCTGATTATGCCCTAACTGGATCGTTTGTCTCTTCTGCTTCGTAACAACATGGTGGGTCTCGTGCCGAAGGCCTCCGTCGGCTGCTTCAGCAGCACCAGAGGAAGAGGAATCTTCTTTCTGCCTTCAATTCCGGCAAATAGCTGTGCTCTGTGAAAATGGGGCCCGTGTGGGCCACCCCTCAGCAACACAGGCCAAACCACCATCTTGTCACTTTTGGACCCTGAGCAGGTCCCTGACCACTGTGGGACCCCAGGGCACGCGCTCCCGGCAGGAACAGCGAGGGGCCAGCTTCTCAGCGCTTCTGTGAGGTCCGCGGAGCCCCAGGGCAGCTGCAGAGGACCTGCCTGCAGTCAGGCAGGCAGCCAGGCAGCTGACTTCAGGTTTTCAGAAGACTTATTTGAAGACATCAACTCCAGACTAAAGGATTCTAATTGTGCCTTCTGTCACGAGTCCCTCTGTCTAGACCAGATGCTATCAGGACTGTCGTCTCGTTTCTGAATGAGCTCTCCCGGTCCTGGCTCTGAAGAGGAGGGTTTCTCAAGGACCTCAGTTTCAGTGCAGTTTAGGTCAGGAGAGGGCAAATGAGCGTGACATCATGGTGTCCCTCCAGGTGAGACAAAAAAGGAGGCTTTTAGACAATGGGAAATGGCAGATTGTGGGGTAAAAACTTCCGTGAGCAGAATGTTTGGAGACGTCGTGTTTCCCTTGATGAGATTTCCGGCTGCTGTGTGCAGGGTTAACTCACATGAAACATCCTTCTTAAATACGCTGTATTTCATGTATTGTCTGTGGGACACAATTTATTCTTCGTGACAGAGTGTGCATTGTTGGGGCGCCATTAGGACCACCACTCTCTCCTACAGCCCTGAAGAAAAGCGTCTCCTGGAATCGTGCCTGCCTGTGCAGGCTGGGCCGGGTCCAGTTTTCACAATAATTTCCTAATTCCTCCAGAGTGATTTTCTCCTTTGCCTCTCATTTCTTCCTATTCTTTTTCTTCCATGTGCCTTAACATTTTGCTTGTCCGTTTTGTTTCCCTTTAACAGTTCTGTTGAAATGTTACCGTGGTCTCTGAAGACAGATTACCTGGGTTCAAATTGAGACTCCCCCGCCGACCTGCTGTGTGGCCTCCCCGTGCATCAGTGTTCTCATCTGTGAAACGGATACAACAGGATCCTCCTTGTAGGGCCACGGCCAGGATTACATGAGTTGATGCAGAACGGCGGGGGGGTGCGCTCTTCCCGATGGAGCCTTTGCACGTGGGGCATCCAGACCAGGGACCCATCAGCACCCCGGGGGGCTGTGAAGTGCAGGCTCCTGCTCCCTGCCAGGCTCCGGCTCGGTCAGAGAGAGGGCCTGTTGTGGCTGATTCCTGCCGTGGCACGTAAGAACCGCTGCTGAAAATCAAAGTTCTGGCTCCTACGGTGCTGTCCTCATCCTCCCTCCGTCCTCTCGAGTGTCCCCACATCACGTCGCCTCACAACAGTGAGTCTCTGGGTTTGGACGTTCGGTTGATTTCCCACCGTGATGGATGTCTTCAGACTTCCCGGCTTCTGACTTCCCAGACCCGCTTCGGATCGTTGTGGTCCCTCCTCAGGGTCCTTCTGTGACTCCGCTCTTGGGAAACACGTGTCAGACACACGAGGGCTCCCGTTATTCTGCTCTGCTCCGGTAGGCGGTAAGGTTTCAGGTGCTGCACGGGGTGACCGAACCTAGTTTCAGGGCTGCGAACGCTGCAAGGCGGGGAGCCTCAGGGACTGGTTACATGTTGTAATTCACGCGCTGCCACTCACTCAGGAGAGAGGCGAGGGCTCTCCCCTAGCATGAGGCGCAGGAGTCGGCTGACGGCAGTCCCTTGCAGTGGCATCGACAGTCGCACTGCTCTCCTGGATGCGTGACCCAGGGTCAAAAGGGCAGACACAGCTTTCTTCTCTCACTGCTCACCGGATCCAAAGCCTTCTTCAGCTCCATCCAGGACAAGTCCTGGGGCCCCGGAGTGAGTGATGCCCAGGCACAGCTTGAGGACCAAGGCTTCGGAGGCAGACATGGGGGAGGACTACGGAGCAGCATTTACAGAGGGCCGAGTCCCCCAGGAGACGGGGGTGGGGCGGCTGTGGGGCTGACCCGGAGTGGAGACCTGAGGCTGTGCCCACGGGGAGGGGCAGTCAAACAGCTCAAGGAGCTGCTTCTGATTCTCGGTTGAAGGTAGAGTTTGTGTGGAACTTTGCACCGTGTCACCAGGCCATGACTGATGGAAAGATGCCCACAGACACAGCACAGAACCTGAAGTTTCTCCACGACAAAATGATAAGGGATAGAGAAAGTTCTGGAGTCAAGTAAAGTAAAGACAGGTGGCACGCCGTCAGGTTCCAGGTTCTGACAATGACATGTAGCTGCTGAGGAAGCTGCCCAGGTGGACTGAGTCCACCAGACAGCAGAAACGCAGCTCGCCCGTTCTTACAGGGATTTTAATGCCTTCCTGGGTCCTCCGCGGCTCCCTGGTTGCCAGATGTAAGTAACTGATAAAAGAAAGTTAAGGTAAAATTTGTATATAGCAAAATTTACCCCTTTAAGAACAGCTATGTAAGTTTTAGCAAATGCACACGGTTGTGTAACCACCACCACGATCAAGGTGTAAAACAGCCGCATTGCTCCCCAAGTCCCCTCTGCCCCTTTCCCACTTGACACCTCCCAAACTCTGGTCCCTGGCAGCTCCGGGTCTGTTTCATCCCAGTG